TCAGCAGTGAAGCAAGTCCAGAGAGCCATTTTGGAGGGTTTTATAAGGAACGGGGAATTTGCCTCTAGGGCACAGGGGTGGCACACGGGCAGCAGAGAGGGAGCTGGAGCGTCAGAGATAAGCCAAGATTTGATTTATTTCACTAAAGGGGAGAGACGGGAGACAGAGACACCCCAGCGGTCTGTTGGCTCGAGGCAGGACCCAGGGGGCCACCTCCTCTGTCCCCAAATGTGGGTCGAGGAGGAGGAGGAAGAGGGAGGAGGAGGAAGAGGGAGGAGGAGGAAGAGGGAGGAGGAGGAAGAGGGAGGAGGAGGAAGAGGGAGGAGGAGGAAGAGGGAGGAGGAGGAAGAGGGAGGAGGAGGAAGAGGGAGGAGGAGGAAGAGGGAGGAGGAGGAAGAGGGAGGAGGAGGAAGAGGGAGGAGGAGGAAGAGGGAGGAGGAGGAAGAGGGAGGAGGAGGAAGAGGGAGGAGGAGGAAGAGGGAGGAGGAGGAAGAGGGAGGAGGAGGAAGAGGGAGGAGGAGGAAGAGGGAGGAGGAGGAAGAGGGAGGAGGAGGAAGAGGGAGGAGGAGGAAGAGGGAGGAGGAGGAAGAGGGAGGAGGAGGAAGAGGGAGGAGGAGGAAGAGGGAGGAGGAGGAAGAGGGAGGAGGAGGAAGAGGGAGGAGGAGGAAGAGGGAGGAGGAGGAAGAGGGAGGAGGAGGAAGAGGGAGGAGGAGGAAGAGGGAGGAGGAGGAAGAGGGAGGAGGAGGAAGAGGGAGGAGGAGGAAGAGGGAGGAGGAGGAAGAGGGAGGAGGAGGAAGAGGGAGGAGGAGGAAGAGGGAGGAGGAGGAAGAGGGAGGAGGAGGAAGAGGGAGGAGGAGGAAGAGGGAGGAGGAGGAAGAGGGAGGAGGAGGAAGAGGGAGGAGGAGGAAGAGGGAGGAGGAGGAAGAGGGAGGAGGAGGAAGAGGGAGGAGGAGGAAGAGGGAGGAGGAGGAAGAGGGAGGAGGAGGAAGAGGGAGGAGGAGGAAGAGGGAGGAGGAGGAAGAGGGAGGAGGAGGAAGAGGGAGGAGGAGGAAGAGGGAGGAGGAGGAAGAGGGAGGAGGAGGAAGAGGGAGGAGGAGGAAGAGGGAGGAGGAGGAAGAGGGAGGAGGAGGAAGAGGGAGGAGGAGGAAGAGGGAGGAGGAGGAAGAGGGAGGAGGAGGAAGAGGGAGGAGGAGGAAGAGGGAGGAGGAGGAAGAGGGAGGAGGAGGAAGAGGGAGGAGGAGGAAGAGGGAGGAGGAGGAAGAGGGAGGAGGAGGAAGAGGGAGGAGGAGGAAGAGGGAGGAGGAGGAAGAGGGAGGAGGAGGAAGAGGGAGGAGGAGGAAGAGGGAGGAGGAGGAAGAGGGAGGAGGAGGAAGAGGGAGGAGGAGGAAGAGGGAGGAGGAGGAAGAGGGAGGAGGGCTGGCGCCCGGAATCCTTAATTGCCAGATCTCCACCTTCCCGTCACCCGGCACGACCACGGCCGCACAGCCAGCGATGGGAGCGCGGCCCTGCACAGAAACGGGGGTGTGGGAGGCAAACGACGGGCCCTCGGGGGGTTTGGGGTTTTTCTCCTTTGTTTTCCCAGCACCATGGGGACGGTGCTAGAAGAAAATGGAAGTGTCCGAAGAGTTGGAAGAGACGGGAAACGGGCACAGGGCTCCCCCGAGACCGTCGGAGCTGCGGACGGGGTCGGTAAATCACGGGGTGGGACAGAGCAGAAGGTACAAACCTTCCCGGGAAGGGCATCCCTCCCGCTGCGCTGCCTCTCACCGTCACCGCTTATTGCGGCGGCGCCGTCAAATCCCCATTTTTGGAGCTGAGAAAGCGTCCGGCGCTTGAGCTGCGACCGCTTTTTTTTCTTTTTTAGGGGGTTGTGCGTCTGAGTGTGGCGCCTCATGAGAGGCGAGCGACTCCGGGGAACTTCCCCCGCCGCCAACTCCCACCTTTTTCAGGAGCCAAATTATCTTCTGGGAAGACATTGGGGGGACCAAAGCTGCCCCCCCCCACCCCGAAGAGACGAGGGCAACACCTGAGCCGCGGGGCAGGAGGCTGTAAAGCCCAAATTGGAGATTTGCTTCCCTCTCGGACACTTCCATTCTCTCGGATGCGACGCTCGGCTCCCAAGCCCGGAGCGGCAGCATCAGGACCCCCCGTCCCACCCCACCGCCCCCCAGAGGGAACCGCTCGGCCGCAGAGAGGGAAACTCTCTTCGATTCGGAGGCAACGCCGCCCTCCGCCTCCCCAGAAGTGAGTACGCTGGAGAAAAACCTCTCTTTTCGTCAAGTTAAATAACGAAGCAGCTGACAGCCACCTGAAATTTGTCCCTGGTGACCCAAAATTCGCCCCCAGCCACCCAAAATTCGCCCCCAGCCACCCAAAATTTGCCTGTCGTCGTCCTCCCCCCCAGCTGCTAACATCTGGGAGCTGAAGCACCCCGGAAGAAGAGGGCTTCTTGCCGGATTTCTG